ATGATTCGGTAACGCGTAAACAACCTTGAGTTTGGAGTAGATTTAAGTTAAGATCTCAATCGATTTCGAGGACAAACAGGTACAGGGCCCTCTTTATCAGGAGCAAAGAAATCTGCAAGACTAGAAAAAATGAGCGTAACGTCCTTATTTATACTCCATAGCTACGAGCGTTATGCTCACCACTTTCCAGCCTTGCAGATTTCATTTCTGCTGATGAAGAGGCATCCGTACGTACGAAGTGGCACTCGTGGCAAACAGACTATTTATGAATAGCCTGTTTGTTTCAGCATTTTTTAAGTTCACATTAAAAATGGAAATAAGAAGACATCATGCCCATGTAGAAAACATATTGTAGAAAACATACTGTAGAAAACACGTGTTGCAAATGATATAAAATGTATCACAAAATTAATGTAAAAATCATCAATGTATAAAGTTCTCTTTCAGGATAATGGTATCGGTTCGTATTACAGTCATTTCGAAGAAAATTTATGATCTGAAAATGAAGTAGAGACTTAGGCTGCTACTCTTCTTACTGTGAGAAATAAAACTTTCTATTACTAGCAGCAAGGAAAGGGGGAGGGAAAACCAAGATATTGCAGAAATTGATGCATTTTTATTGTACTTAGAATAAATATATTCCATGAAGAAAATGACGAAATATTTTATGAGGAAAGAAAATCTATCATCCTATGCGGACACGTATTCTGTCACTAGATACTGTGTCAAGCCCGTGCCGAATATTTACAGATATTAAAATATTGCTTCATATAAAAGAGCCCAGATACTTCAAACTGACAAGCGATGGCAAACAAATATGCTCTAAGCCATAAAACGAATTTGATATTTTCCTTTTGTTATTAACATTCCCTAGAAATAGGAAATGTGTAAACAGTGTTGAAACAGATGATTTTGGAAATGAGTATGGAAAACGCATACATTTTGTAAAGTACTATCCGACTAGATCGATCCAAATAATAAGGATCCTTAAAGCTAATTTAGTATTAATAACATAGATTTGTAAACATTATAACCATGTTATAATGTTTACAAATCCACAGACTGCATTACTTTGGAATCGAAAAGCTTTTATTGAAAATTTAACAGCTTAATATAGATTTCGTTCTGTTTCATCTGCTCAATAATAATTGTTTTCAAAGAGATAGCAGACACAACAGTTTAACCTAGAGCTCAATTTCGATTAGCTGTTTGTCTAAATTATTAAAATGATTTAAGTAGTATTTGATAATTTAGAAGATAATAAATCGTCTAGACGAAATTTTCTTGCGGGTAAGTTCATAAAGTATGCAGCTTCTTTGTGATTACAGAAAGAAATACATGAAATAAAATTGCCATGCGTGTTAACGAAATACTTACAATAACATGGAATAATAAGCACACGTTTTCAGGCAATGTATTTATTTATCAAAGTTGCATGACTTCTTTATCACTTAAACAAAATCTCCACGTTTTCTGCCTGCTTGAAGGCCACGTTGCTAACTTTGATTCTCTAGCGATCAATATTCAGCGGCGTTGAGTTATTCTTGCCAATTAGGCCTGTTTACGCCGATTTCGGTCAAAGCCAGCTTGCGCGCTACTTATATTTTGAAGCTGTACTTAAATTTCAATAATTCATCCATTATCTTTGACTTGAAGCCAAAGCTACTGGCTTCTCTAAGCACGAGTTGGTGCCATATGTTAAACTCTATTTCGATTAATAAAGGATCCTTTAATTATTATTAACAATTATTAATAAAAGATACTTTAATCCGATTAGTAAAGGACCCTTTTCCCGTCTCTGTGGTTTTTAAAAGGCAGAGGGAAAACTCCCCAGTTGTCTTTTACGTCTGGTCTAACTGTATGCTATCTGGCAGATCTTTATAAAGTGACTAACGCGTTTGAAGCAAAGAATCAGTTACAAGGAAATTGATGCAAATTATTTCTGGATTATTCTAGAGAAGAGTTGCATATGATGTACTTAGACAATATATCAAGAACAAGAGAAAAGGAAGACATCTTTCTTCAGAGATAAAGAAAAGATAATGAGATACGATTTATGTGAACAAAAGCATTATGCAACGCTAAAAAATACGAAGTTAGAAATTTTTGATCGAGTGACAAATGTGTCTGACACTGAAATTGGGCACTTAAATTGTTTTACTATTGGCCGGGTGAAGTTATGGGTCTAACAAAGATTCCATTAGCCTTTGACCCCATTCTTTATAAAACTATTCTGAAGGTCAGACCAACAAGCCTTTCTGGCTCTGTTATGATCACGACTGAACAGCACTTTTATTGCTGTTCTAAGCTTAAAAGCAACACTGTACCACAAAAGAATCAACAACAAAATGTTAGGAGCAACCAAAGGATAAGAAACCTTATAGGACAAGCTGTCTGCAGTAAACTGATACAATACATTTGGGGAAACTGCACCTGCTACTGCATACCTTAGGGGGAGGGCAGAAAACAATATTATAATCTCGGCCGTTTACGGGCGGTTCTGGTTGTTTCAATGTACGGCCGTGTGGGGCGAATTGGTTGTGAAAGAGTTAATCCTGAAACCCTGTGTAACATCAGGTTTATATTAGAAAACTTCCTGTTTTTCTAAATCGAAAAACAGTGTCCGCCACAATGACCAACAAGGAAAGACCCCCCCTCCATTGGCGGAAAATCCGTTACTGATCACGTCAGTATATACATTATATATGATTACATTATATATAAAGTAAACACATAATGCCTAAGTCATTATATATAATGATCATTCAAGGCATTATATACAATGACCTATTAAATCGTGTAAGAGAAACAAAAAAGCCCGCTCTTTCTTGAGAAATGCGAACGAGTAAGACGCATTACGCGTCGAGAAAGCTGATGGTCTTTGACCTCCTCATAATAATGTTGTAATGTTACTTTTTAATTAACCAAGAAAGCATACGTTAAATTTCAAAATAAATGGAAAAAAGGACAACTGGTCTTGAGTTTTTCAATCGCAGATGTTCGGCGACGTTACACATGCTATAATCACCTGAATGCACTTTCCTAACAAAAAAAGCAAATAATATAAACGAAAACAAAAAGCTGGATGCACTTACCTACGTTCTAATAACGAAAAAAGGAAAAAACAAAAAGTGAAAAAAAAAAAGGAATTCCTAACGAAATAAACAAAAACGCCTATGCCCCTTTAATTCATAGGCGCACTTTTAAAGAGCAATAAATGTATCAAAACCAGAAGCACAAAAAAAAAAAAAAAAAAAAAAAAAAAAAAAAAAAACTAATGCCAGTACATGAAGGTCAAATGCTGTGGAAACAGTTACCATTTAACTCCATCTACTGGCTTTTAAAAATTCAAATAAATCGTTCCGTTTTAAAGTTATTTATGCGCGAAGCTGGGCTTCTAGGAGTAGAATCGTTGCGTCGCGTATACGGGACTCAACGAAATGGGCTGGTAGAAGTGAAAGATTTAATTTAGAATTCAAACAAAAAATCAGCGCTATATTTGCAAAATTTTCAGGACTAGTTTCGATGGTTTTACTACAGAACCATCATTTCAGCTGCTAAAGGGCAATTTTCTGCAGCCAAAATTGCTGCAGAAAATTGGCTGCAGAAACATTTGGCAAGACATTTTTTATTGGTGAATTAGATCTTCTGGAGGGAAAAAATTAAAAAAAAATCTTTCTGATATAGTTAATGACCTTAATTCCAATCAATCTTTACCTTTAGCCTTTAAGGAAATTATGTTATAGTTTTCTTGTTTCATCAATAGATGGCGCCAGTAGCTTAACTCTTGTCCAGCCATTCTTATCTTATTACTATATTTTATTTCGTTCAGTTGCACTTTGGCAGCTGAGGAAGTGGTTCGGTAGTAAAACTATCAAAAGTAGTCTTGGAAAATTGGCAAATATAACCTTGTATAACCTATCCAAATATAGTATAACCTATCCGAAACCTATCCAATATTATAGTATAACCTATCCAAAACAACCTCCCTCATAGTGCCCTCTGGTGAGTATCCAGAGAAAAACTTCTTTGTTATAATTAGTCCAGTATAGTTTATATTAACAGCAGAGTTCGTATTAAAGGATTGGTTCAGGTAGAATTTATGTAAAACATAAATTTTAGTTTCTGATTCAGTTTCATAATGTGCATTCTGATTGCTTGGATTGTCTGATTTTATAAAGAATATTTTGAACGAATAGTAGTAAAATCATATGAAATTAGGTAACTTGCATTAAATGTTAAGTAAAAAGAACTTTGATTAAATGCGAGGTATGCATTGTTAATTGAAAATCTTCAAGTAACTCCACTGTCAGTAATTAAAAGCAGTACTGTAAATTACCAAATTTACCCAAGAACGCAAATCAATTTTATTTGAAAATCTAGAATAAAGTATATAGGATTTTAAAGCCCAAATCTCTTTAAAATTTAATTAATTAAATTCAGATTATGATTTGAGTATACCTTCGGAAACAATCATCGTTACTACTTTAACTAGCAAACAGAAATATTATCTTATATTCACTTGAGCCAGACATCTTAATCCGTAGTTTAAATTTTGAGATTTTATTTCTGTTCGTACAATGGCTGACTGTGTAATTTTCTTCTAGGTTTAGTAACTGCGTTCACAATTCTAAGTTTGTCTGCAGCTAACGTGCCCTCATCTTATGTATGTTAACAAACAATATAGATTTCTGAAAATACTAAACTCATCAGCTACAACTATTTATGCAAAGGCTATTTAAATTAGTATACATTAGTTAGAGTTAAGCTTTTTTTCGAATTATAACTATTCCAAAAGGATGCCATAGTCTTAAGTAGTAGATATGATGATTGAAAAGACCTATATAGTACTTTAAGTCAGATCCTGAATGTCGAGCCAAGGAGGTTCGTCTCTTGATTAGTGCCAATCGATTTAGTTTGGTGGCGCTGCACGCATTTCTCCGTTAGCTGCCACACAAACGTGTAGAATAATGCCATATCATTCGGTCTGCGGACTGGAATCCGATGCTTTAAAATGAAAACGTGGGCCGCAAAATGCTTCATTTCATGGCACGCGCCTCCGCCAAGCGGAGGTCTGACAACTCGTAAACAAGCAAGAACATCATGCAACGTGCGGCAAGAATTCCATTCTTCCACTAGAACCAAGGAATATTTGTAACTTACTTTGTATAGTTCTACAGAAAATGGGAAGTTTTAAAATTTCGGGTTCTTTCCGATGTTTTTGGTCGCACCTTTTCTACGGTATCTGTTTCGGACTTTGGCTAATGCATGGTGAGTATACCGTTTATCAAATCTTCTATTTCAGCTCAAATTATTACTCAGTATTGAAAAATAATCCTTCTTCAGCCTGAAATAAATAACAACGTAAAAACTGTTTTAAACGATTTAAGTTTTCTGCTTAAAGCCCTCCAGCTAGTATACATTACTTATATTAAATACTATTTGCGTAATCCACATTTAATGAAAACCAAATAAAAAAAAATAATGGCATATCCCACAGAGTAGTCAACTTGAACGTCACTGATTTTTAATAACCTAGCATTAGGATTGTAGCCGCAGTGCAAGACTTTTTAAGAAATATAGTTTTCACTGTTCTCTAAAACTATGTTAAATCAGGGAAAGGTTCTGAACTTTATTTGAAATGTAGTTCCAATGACTTAAATGAGTTGAAGCACTTATAAAAGATTTTTTTTTTCTTTTAGGGATTATTTTTCATTTCGAACTTAAATATTAAGAAATAGTAGGGATATCATGGAATCTGTAAATAGATACCTTGACTGTTCCGGGATGGATAAGCAGTAAATTACAACCGTTAATGTTACTTCAAATGCATCATACCAATGCCGAGAGGCGAAAACAATAGTCGGGTTTTCAGGCAATGTGATACGCGCGCTTTGTCGTAACATGTGTTGGCTTAATGATTATTTTAAGTAATAAACAATTCCATCTGCTATTTAGTAAGTCATGCAGAAAGATTTCTGTTAAAATTTTTTAAATATTTAAATTGTGATAACAGCTTTACACGTACATCATTTTGATTAATTTGTGTAACCATGTGTTTTATCCTTTCGAAAAATGAAATATGTACTACTATAACTGAGATAAATTACGAAAAAAGGGCTTAAGCTATGCTTATGGATACTTAATAATAACTTAGTAATATCTGAATATGTATGTATATATATAAGAATATGTATAGGGGATATATATGTTTATATAGAAATATATATGTGTATATAGGAATCTATATGTATGCATAGAAACTATATATGCGTAGGAAATCTTGCTTCTACCTTTATTATAACCTCTTTATCTCAGTAATAAAAAATCCTTGAATTGCAGTTTGAAATTCCCGAGAAAATCCTGGAAGATATCTATTTGATTTTAAATAAAGATTACAAACTGAAATATGGTGTTTTAATCATAAGTAAACTAAGTATTAATTTGCATTTCTGAATTTGGCTCCAGGAGTAACATTCAGTAAGTGCCGAATTAAAATTATTTTAGTCTGAATTGAAATACTTTTAATATAAATTTTTATTCCACCTGAGAATTCGTCAATGGTATGGTATAACTGAATTCTAGGATGTGAAAAGAAATACTTTACTGTTAATTAAGATTTCTTAATATTTGGAAAATGTATCTGAAAAGTAGAAGTCAAAATATGATGTTTTTCAGCTACTTTCCTTGAGCGGCAATGCGGGGAGACTATATTCAATATGCGTATGAGCGCTTGCTGAAATTTATCACATTTCTTAACTTGGCTCCAGTAGTAACATTCAATACGTGCCGAACTAAAATTATTTTAGTCTGTACTGAAATACTTTTAATGTAAATTCTTCTTCCACCTGAGATTTCGTAAGCGGTGTGGGATAACTGAAATGTAGGATCTGAAAAAGAAAAAAATAATGTTAAATAAGATATTATTTATTATGTTTGGTAAATATATCTGAAAAATAGAAGTGAAAACATGATGTTTTTCAGCTACTTTCCTTGAGCCATTCAAGAGGCATCTGCGTCAGAAAGGATGTCTTACGGAAGTTCATAAAACTGAAATCAAAGCATAGATCTCGAAAACACATGCATTAAATTAATTCAGTTAATTTAAATTATAAGTGGTAAATCACCTTATCCATTCGTCCACTAAATAGGCAACATTTCATATATTTCATTGCAATTTTCTCAGTTCAGGTCCTCTCGAACGCTAGGTTCCACAAGAAACTGCGTACGACTCTGCGAAAAATTGTAAATGAAAATTGTATATTTAATGATACGGCAATTTTACATGTAAGAATTTTGTGGGATATTATTACTGTTTATTTAAGAAGTTCGAAAGCATAATAAAGTAGAGCTACGCTGGTTTATTCATATGAATTAAACGACGAGACTTATTGCTGGAAATATAGGTGGCGATATGCGTAATGTAAGCAGCGTTTTAAAATACAATTATTATTTCGTTACTGCAGAATTTTTAATGATACATGTAAAACATATTTAACAAGGGTCTTTAAAGAACATATACTGTAAAGATTACACATATGCGAATTATAACCCCAGTAAGCATTTAATTGCTTTCGCAGCTCCTTAAGTTCCATATACGAAGAATAAAAATAGTTATTTTAATTATTAGTGAATGAGGCAGAATACATAAGTACTTTATTCCATTTGTAAAACAGACCGTATAATTAAAATCGTGAAGAATGTACAAGTTGATTATATATTTCTTTTGATTTTAGATATGGATTTTCTAGTACTTTTATTATTCAGTCTTTATAATGATTCATTACAATGTTACAAATTTTTCCGTTATTTTCATTAGTGTAACTGTATTAATGGCATCATTATACTACATCTGTCATAGAAATACTGATACTACATCATCAATATACTACATCTGTCTCCTTAAGTTCCATATACGAAGAAATAAAATAGTTTATTTAATTATTAGTGAATGAGGCAGAATACATAAGTACTTTATTCCATTTGTAAAAACACACCGTATAATTAAAATCGTGAAGAATGTACAAGTTGATTATATATTTCTTTTGATTTTAGATATGGATTTTCTAGTACTTTTATTATTCAGTCTTTATAATGATTCATTACAATGTTACAAATTTTTCCGTTATTTTCATTAGTGTAACTGTATTAATGGCATCATTATACTACATCTGTCATAGAAATACTGATACTACATCATCAATATACTACATCTGTCTCCTTAAGTTCCATATACGAAGAATAAAAATAGTTATTTTAATTATTAGTGAATGAGGCAGAATACATAAGTACTTTATTCCATTTGTAAAACAGACCGTATAATTAAAATCGTGAAGAATGTACAAGTTGATTATATATTTCTTTTGATTTTAGATATGGATTTTCTAGTACTTTTATTATTCAGTCTTTATAATGATTCATTACAATGTTACAAATTTTTCCGTTATTTTAATTAGTGTAACTGTATTAATGGCATCATTATACTACATCTGTCATAGAAAATCATGTAACGACATGCTATAAAATTCAAAAAATGGTTTATTTGTATTTCTCTACTGACACTGGTAATTGAAACGAATGATCTGCGAGAAGGAAATGTGAGTATTCTAGAACTATATTTTGTTTACCTGGCAAGGAATTAAGGAATTTCTCTGTGCGTGGTGTCATGATGTAGGTTGTTAGCATATACAGCTAGTCTTAGATGATCAAGTGAAAGTTTATTTTTTTAATTTTTCCAGTTCCAAAGTTCCACAATAAAAGTGTCTAAAAACTCATCATTATGCCTTCGCTTTGTGATTGATCGAGTTTATGAGGGTTATATATATTTCATTCGTTATTTTTGGTTCAATTATTTGGTTTCACGGAATAAAGTTAAGCAAAACAAAGTGTTTAACTTGGTTAACAATTACTTTTATAGGCAGTGAACTTTCGTTTAGTTATAGCCCATATTATTACTAACGCACATTTGTTTAATTATAGATAGCTGTTATTATCATCATTGACCATAATTATATTTTAACATTAATTACTGTTACTAATCGTACTGTTACTTACAGATAAGAATTCTAGATTATTTGATTTAACGATTAGTATACCTACTGATTATACTAGATTATTTGATTATTTGATACGTAAGGTGTTACGTCGAGTTCCCATTTAAATTTCTAACGAACCTCAGCAGTGTTAATATATTCAGTGTCAATTTCTGTTCAATTTTAAACTCATTTTTTTCGTGCACCTTCAGAATGGTCAACCAATTTAGACTATTCTTCACCCATATGCTATAATGTAATAATTAGTAAAATATATTGTTGAATGTGCTCAGGTTCGTAATAGACTGAATGCACAAATCCGATAATAGGTTAATAAAATTTATTCTTAACGAAAGAAATATCAGAACCCTGGTATTTTCCTCAGAGGTATTCGCACAAGTGTTCACAATATGACACAGTATAAGTAGAGTAGCTTTGCCTTAAGATGCGGTATGCATAGCGTTGTATTTAACGCTTTTAGATGTTTGAAGTACTTATACTTGAAGTACTTAACTAAACGTTAAATACAACGCTATGCATACCGCATCTTAAGGCAAAGCTACTCGGATATCTCAGTTCACGCGAAACTAAACAACTCGCAACAACAATAGCTAAGCAACTGAACTTAGACGCCTTAAATAGTTTTCAAATGGCAGCGCGAGATATTTCTAGCAGTTTCTGCTTCTCGAAATTACTGGAAAGCAATAAAAGGATGGAATTACGGTTACAGCTAACATAGTGGTTAATTACATTTATTAAATTTCAATACAAATTACTGAGATATCCATTTACTCGATTAAAGGCACGTGCTCCCGTATTCTTACATTTCTGGCATAGGTTTCTCTTAAAAATTTGTTTCGCGCTGCACTGCACGTGAAAATTCCTTAATTTTAATTATAATTCTATAAAAATTCGTAACGATACTTATTGCAGGAGAAAATGCTTGCTATTGGTCCGAAAAATATGCAATCATTTAAAGATTGAGGTTGTATTATCTCCTGTTTTTTTGATACGCTGAAACTCAAAATGTTTCCAAATTTCTAAGAGAGGAATGCTTTCGTGAGGAAATTTGACGGAAAGTGGCTCGTATTTACGTTACAAGTTCCGGCGAGGGTATCACACATTTGCATGTCTTCTGCTCCGAAATATCCTAATGTCTCTACAATGAAATCAGCAGAATTTTCACAAAAATTTGCATAACTCCCTGAATATAACCAATATTTTAGTTCGTCTTTAAAT